GTTCATGGACTGAGGGTACAGGAACCACGGCTCCCGCACCCAGAACAGCCACCCTGCACCCAGAGCAGCCATCCCGCACCCACAGCAGCCATCCCGCACCCAGAGCAGCCATCCCGCACCCACAGCAGCCATCCCGCACCCACAGCAGCCATCCCGCACCCACAGCAGCCATCCCGCACCCACAGCAGTTATCCCAGACCAGTTATCCCGCACCCAGAGCAGTTATCCCGCAGCCGCTGTCCCGCAGCCGCTGTCCCGCCCCGCCGGCGGGTGGCTAGCACACCGGCAGCCCCGCTCGCCCGCCAGAGGCGCGTGCCGGCACATCCACCGGACCCGGAGCGCCCTGTGTGCATCGGGACCAATTAACCTGTTGATTCATTAAAAATCTGACAGGGTGCACAGCCAGGGGAGGCAGCGAGAAGCCCTGGCACCTCGCTGGTCGTGCTGTCCCTACACAGGACGCTGTCGTTCTGCAGCCACGCCGGGAGCCAGAGCAGCGCTCACCGAGGCACGTCCAGAGCCACGGGATTTGACCGGCGATGGCGATTTCCGCGCGGTAATTAACGCGGCTCCGTTCCCCAGCCGAATCAGGGAACGAGCCCTGGCTCCCGAAGCACGGCCGGGAGGCAGCGAACAGCGGAGCACCGAGCTCACATGTGCGCAAACACCGCGCTCCTGCCCCAGCGAGTGCCCGGGGTGCAGGGCTGGGAGCGAGCCCAGGGTGCCCGGGGTGCAGGGCTGGTGCAGGGCTGGGAGCGAGCAGAGATCCCCCACCCTGAGCTCGGGAACCCCGAAACTGCACCCGCAGCGTTCACCATCCCCGCAGGCACAGACCCYGCTCTGTGCCAGCSTGAGCCCTCTGCTCTGGCCCGGCGTTACCCAGCCTGACCCCCGCGCCGCTCTGTGCAAAGTGTAAATGTTCTGTGAACCGGGAAGCAGAGCAGCACAAACCCCCCCGGCTGGCAAATCAGCACGTGTGGCGAGCCCGAGTGCCACCACTGCCCGTGCTGGCGTGCCCCTGGCACAGCAGGGACCTCAGCAGAGGGTGGGGGATGCTGCCTGTCCCCGCTGCATCCCTCTGCATGCACATCCCCAAACGCAAAGGGGAGCAACTGATGCCAGCCAGGGAAACTGGTGGGGTTTGTGCTCGCAGGRAACACCGACGGCCCCAGCTCGTCCGGGCTGTCCTCCCCAGCCAGCACTCACGGGAAGGAACCTTCTGGCATGGTTGCCAGAGCTGGGGGAGATGCAAAAGCCATCCCTCTGAGAACGCTACTCCACAAGCCAGCTTCGGGRTATGTGATGGAAGCTGCACTAACATGTACAACGCCAGCCAGAAACCAAAASCCTCAGATGAGCTCCTGGCTGCCCGGTGCAGCGTGCCACGGCACAGCCTCGGCACTCACCTGTGCTGCTCCAGGGTCTCGTTGTCCGGCAGCTCTGCCCCACACACGCTGCACTGCTCGCCCAGGGCTCTGCTCTCTGTCTTCATGCCGGCAGCCAGCTCCCCCAGCTTGCTGAACAGCTCCCGCTGGATGAAGCCCTGGGGCAGCAGCCCCCCGTAGGCACTGAAGTCCATGGAGACAGCCAGGGCTGGCTGCACGTGCAGGGCAGACGCCACAGCGGGCGGCACAGCGAGCACCGGCTCAGTCTTGTGGTTGGGCAGCAGTGAGTARATACCCAGGGGCTTCTCGCCCGGGGCGGTGGTGGACGGCTCCGGCCCCAGTGGCAGCCCCTGGCCGGGCTCGGGGGCCGGCTCGGCGCCCTCCTCGCGGGTGTAGTGCAGCTCACGAGCACTGGTGATGACACTGCTGCGGGTCGGGGTGCCGGGTCCCTCCTTGCCCTTCTCGTCAGGCTTCTCCCCCGCGGAGGCACCAGGCTCGGCTGCCCGGGGGCTCTCRTGGCTGGAGGCCTCATCCACCTGCATGGTTTCCGTTTTGACTTCAGCCAGACCAGAGGGGTGGCGGGTGCTGCTGGAGCGGGAGTCCTCGGGGGCGCTGGGCATCAGGGCACTCTGCAGCAGGGACTGCCCGATGGTCATCAAACTGTCCACTGCTGCCTTGGTGGGGCTCATGGAAGAGAGGGAGCAATAGGACACGGAGGCAGAGGGGCTCTGCTCTGCCATGGCAGCCGGCAGACTCTGGCCAGCCATGCCAGCATAGCCACCCTCCTCGCCAGGGGGCTTGGAGATGAAGAGGCCCTTGATGTACCTCGACTTCCTCTCCTCTTCTTCCTCAGCGGTGGTGGGGGCACCTCCATCGGCCACAGCCACCTCGGTGTCATTGTCCTCAGAGGCCTGTATAGTCTCCAGGATCTTCAGGCACTGCTCCTCCAGGTACTCAATTTCCAGGATCTCGGCCGCATAGAGCAGGTCATCCAGGTCCTCMACCTTGGCCTGGAGGGTGGCGGTGTAGGCGTACTCCAGGATCTGCTGGAATGTCTTTGGCGAGAGGAAGTCCAGGGTGTAGTGCTGGCTGTTGCGGTGGAAGAGGATCTCGAACATCTTGCTGGTGCAGGCCAGCACGGTCCGGTGCGCGTGGAACTCCTGGCTGTCCACCAGGATGACCACGTCGCACAGCGTCCCCGCCAGGCGCATCTGGTTGGCTTTGTGCAGCAGCCCGGTGGGGTGGCAGGGGTTCTGCAGCTGGATCAGCCCCATCTTGGTCAGATCCATGGCGTGCCCCAGGCTCACATCACACATCAGGGTGTCTCGCCGTCGCTCAAATCTGGAACCAGCTTTGTGTGCCGACTATCTGCGAAAACAAAAGGCGGAGGGGGAGAGGGGCAGAGTGGAGCGGGAAGGGGGAGCAGGGACGGAAGAGGGGAAAAAGAGAGAAAGGAGGGAAAAGAGAGAAAGGGGGAAAAAGAGAGAAAGGGAGGAAAAGAGAAAAAAAAGGAGGGGGAAAGAGAAAAGCCGGGGGAAAGGAGAGGAAAAGGGAGAAGGAGTGGGCAAGAGAAGGGCGCGGGGAGGAGAGGGAAGTTAGCCCACAGCCCAGCAACGAGTCGCCCAAAAGTTTCCGCGCTGCTCGGCGGATCCGCCGCTGCCGGAGCCGCGTCCCCGCTGCCGCCGCCCGGGGAAGGCAGGGGAGGGAAGGGAGAGGAAGGTGCGCATCCCCCGCCGCCGCCCGGCTCCAGCTCCAGCTCCAGCTCCGCCGCCCCGTCCCGCCGGCAGCGCGGCCCCATCAGGTGCGCGGCCAAGCGGCGGAACCGCGGCCCCACGGCGGTCCCGGGGCGGGGGTCTCAGGGGTCGCGGGGGTCCCGGTGCCGCCCCCCTCTCCCGCACTCACGGCGGCCGGCGGCTGCTCCGGCAGTTCGCACTGCCCGCTCTCATCGCCGCCGCCGCCGCTCGCCGCGCCGCGCAGCAAATCACGGCGGCGC